TGCGCTGAGTGTTCCTGAGGTGCAGAGTCTGCAGGGCCGTCAGAGCTGGGAGCTGCCTGCAGGGAGAGGGGTGGTCAGGCCAGGGGAGGGTGCAAGGGCATAGGACTGAGAGGGCCTAGGGGACAAGCTCAAAGACAGTTGAGGGGTGAGGCGGACAACACAGGGGACCCAGGTGGGGTCTGGCTAAGGGACACCGCCCACACCAAACCCAAATGGGAAGGTTCAGGGCTCCTGGGAATAAGGAGCCAGGCTGGTTCGGGGGCTGGGTTTGGAGGGCGAGGCGAGCGCCGCTGACCGCAGCTGTGCGTGCAGCAGGGGGTTCCCGTTGAGCACAAGCGTCTGCAGGTGCACCAGGCGGCGCATCTGAGGGGGCAAGCTCTCCAGGTGGTTCTCGCTGAGGTCCAGGTACAGCAGGTCAGTGAGGTTGATGAAGAGCTGGTTGGGGATGGTGTCAATGCTGGGCAGGAGGGAGGGAGGGAGAAGGGCATGAGGCAACCAACCAGCGGCGCATGCCCACCTGTCCCCAATGTGCTGCGGCCCACCCTAGCACATCCCAGCCTGATGGGCACCTGTTATGGCTGAGGTTCAGCACCAGCATGTTCTTGGCGTTCTCCAGCTCCCGAGGGCACTCCGTCAGCTGGTTGTAGCTTAAGTCCTGGGTAGGAGGGATAAGGCCAGGTCAGGGGTCAGGCTGGGCACTGAGAGGGGAGTAGATAAGGGGGTTTCAGGGCCAAGGGAGACAGCCAGACCTTGGCGGGAAGGGTGCCTAGGTTAAGGATCTGACTGCATGAGGAACCTTGGGCAAGGCACCGACTATGCTAAGCCTCAGTTACCCCCGTTGTAAAATGGAATAATGACTCAGGGACCATCACAGTGGGTGGGAGCCACTGACCAGAACTGAGAGGTCATCCAGCTTGAAGATGTCATCGGGGACTCCAGAATTCTTCAGACTGTTGGCTCGAGCCACGATGGCCTGGGATAAACCAGGAGGAGCAGGGAGATCAGGGAGGCCGCCCGAGTGATCATTGGAGGCCTGGCCTGAGCGCTCCCCCACCCTGGCCTTGCACACAGTCCCTCCCCCGGGCAGGCTCTTCCTGTTCTCCCTATAAGCTCCTATTCATGCCTCAAAGCCCAGCTCAAATAGGCCCCAGAGCCCAGATCTCAGAGAACTTTTTCTGGAAAATATCCCTCTTCTGCTCCTTTCCAGAGGGCAAGACAGGGCTGCTAGACAGGGAAGGGTGGGCCTAGAGACCAGTGTGGACTGAGTTCGTTCTCCCCTTGGGACTGAAACCTCATGTTACAGACGTGCTGAGAGTGTGAGGGGGAGAGGAGGCTGTGATTACAAGCAGCAGCAGGGCGCGGGCTAGGCCGCCTCTCCTTCGCCAGGCTGTGGGGTGCCCACGGGACCTCCCCAGAAAGTGGAAGGGACTTGCCTGAGGCCACGCGGGCAGGAAGTGGCAGAGCTGGCTTGAACTTAAGCAGCCTGAGTCCTTAACATCTCAGGGTTTGGCTTTGGGTGGGATCGGCCTTTGCCAAGGCCCCAAGGTCTGGCCAAGCCTGTGCTCTGAGTTACCGGAAGCTCCGTGAAGAGAAGCAGTGTAAGTAGGTCCCACTGACCACCTCCCCTTCAGCCAAACACCCCTACCCCAGCTCTGCCGCTGCCTGGCTCCGTGACCTCTGGCAAATGACCTGTCTCTGTGGCCAAATGTCCTCATCTGTTCTCTTGGTAGAGGTCAGGATTATAAGAAAAAACCCACATGGAATAGCGCTTAGCCACTACCAGTTGTTATTATTGTCGCTGTTGCCCGAATAGGTGGGATTTGGGGTACTCCCTCTCGTTTTTACCCAGAGGCTACACAGGACATTATTATACTCTCTCCCCTTTGGGAAGGATGCGGCAGGGGTGATGGCCCAGCTTGGGGTCTGGCCCTGCCCTCGCACCCCTGGCTAGACTCCAGTCCCCACCCCGAAGCTTGGTGGCCGCCAGCATCACTCACCCGAAGAGATGGCAGGCTGGACAGCTCCCCATGGAGCGTGGTCAGGTTGTTGTGGCTCACAGACAAGTGCTCCTGGGCCAGGACGAAGGAGCAGGGACTCAGTGGGGTGTCTATGGCGTCTCCACCTGCCACCATCACTGCACCATTTGGGGTCCCTCGGCCACCCAGGCCCAGTCCACCTCTAAGCGCCCTCCCGCACACACCCGCATCTCCCTGAGGCGTCCAGGGAGAGGGCCTCTGCCCTCGCCAGCTCTGCTCATACCTATCACCACCGTTCTCGGTCTGCTTTGTCCACCTGCCCAGCCCCCAGGGCACCCACCCTGCCCAATGACACTCCTTACCAGCTTCTGCAGGGCAGCCAGCTCCTCTGGCAGGTAACAGAGGCCGGTGCGGTTCAGCTTCAGCCACCGAAGACTGGTCATGGCCTTGACATTCTCAGGGAAGTAGCCTCCCTGCGGGGTATTGATGGTGAGGCTGGTCTGGGGGAGGAACGTCCCTGCTCTGCCACCCTCTATGGCCCCCGAATGCCCATGGGAACCTCTGGGGAGCAACAGAGCCAATCTCGCCCGCTGTGTGACCCTGGACAAGGCACTCTGCCACTCTGAGCCTCAATTCCTCACCATAAAGAGGGCTGATAAAAGCCCCCTGTAATGGAATTGTTGTGAGGGCTGATAAAAGCCCCCGGTAAAAGAATTGTTGTGAGCAATGACTATTAGGATGGCTGTTGGCCTAAGATAGTCTCTTTCTGGAGGGTTGGGATGGAACACCTCCAGCACCCAGCTGTGTGCTCAGCTTGGCTCAAATGCCTTCACCCAGTGTTCCAGGCTCTGCCAAGTGTGGGGGTGGCCCTGAACCTCTGTCTAGGTCCTACCTGTGCCCTCACCTTGCCATCAGCCTACAAGTTATTTGTGGCAAGATCCAAACCCCCAGTGCAAGGCCCCAGCCACCCCCCTACACAGGCACTGCCTCATTCGTCATTCATTCCACCAACTGGAATGCCCACCTCAGCACCCCCAGCCCTCGTGGCAGGGAGCCTGGGGAGCATATGCTTTTAGTGCCCTTGGCTGTGTCCCCTTCCCCACACACTACATTCCCAGCCAGGGACTCAGACTTCCAATCTGGAAAGGACACGTGGAGAGCCCAGGTGAGTGGAGATGGAGGTTGAGGAAAGTGGTGTGGTCACCTGTGCAAGGGGTAAAAAGTGTGTGGACATGTGGATAAATGCAACCTGCCTCCTCCTCAGTCCTGGCTAGACAGGCCCTGCCCCCCCGCAAGTCTGGGCTCCCCAACACTATACAGACTCGGGTCTAAGCCTACCCACCCCCTCCCTTCAGCCTGGGCTGACCCCCTGTCCCAGGCCAGCTCTCTCCTCCATCCTGGCCTGCCTCCTCAGTCACTGGCCCTGCCCACCTCCTCCCTGCCTGCCGCTCTAAACCGCCTCACCCACCCGCTGGCTGGCAGGCTGGCAGGCTCCCGGTGGCCTGGTCATTCCGCCGGCAGCTGGGCAGCCTCCCACCTGCCTCCCTCCGCTGCCCGGCGCTCCGCCCACGCCCCGGCCCCTGGAGGGCCATTCTCAGCCCCATTTCTCTCGGAAGGAGGAAACCGCGGAGCCCCGAGGGGAAGTGACTTGCCCAGGATCACACCGGAACGGGCGGCGGCGGAGGGCACCAGACCCGGGGGCATCGGGTGCCGCTGCGCGCAGGGAGTCGGGGCCGGACTCGGCGCGACCTCAGCGGGGCCGGGAGCAGCTGGGAGCGGAGCTGAGGCCGCCGCCCGGGCCCCGCCGCCAGGACCGGCCCGGGCTCCCAGCCCCCCAGCCGGACGCCCAGCCCAGCGCCCGGCCGGCCCCCAGCCGGCCTTCCCGGCGCCCCGGAACGGAGGCCGAGGGGAGTCCTTCGCGGCGGGGGATCAAGGCCCCCGAAAGCCCCGTCCGGCCCGGCCCCGCCCAGGTCGGCGGCCCAGGCCCGCGGCGGCGGCAGGAAGCGGGAGCGCGGGCCGCGGCGGAAGGGACGCGGGGAGGAGGCGGCCGCCGCCGCGCCGCTCACCTTGAAGTCGTTGCCGCTGAGGTCCACGCCGCGCACGAACGGCAGCACCCCGGTGGCCTCCATGGCGCCGCTCTCACCGCCGCGCTCTCCGCCGCGCTCTCCGCCGGGCGCGGTGCGGGGAGCGGGCCCCGCCCTTCACCCCGCCCCCGGCGAGCGGGAGGCGGGGCGGGCCGCGCCCTCCAGCCCGGCACCCGGCGCGCCGCCTTAGCGCCGCCTCCCCGCGCCTCAGTTTCCCTGTCTGCGCGAGGAGCGGAGGGGCCTGCAGGGTCCGGGCGTCCCCGTGCTCGCGCGGGAGGCTTCACCCCCTGCAGGCGCCGCCCCTGCGCCCCGGGGGGCATGCCCACCGCACCCGCCGCCCTGCGCCCGCTGAGGGGCCCGGCCCGGCCGCTGGGGTCTGTCCGCCCGGGGCCTGGCGGCGGGGGGCCATGACGCCTGGCCCGGGCTGAGGCCCTCGAGCGCCTTCAAGCCCAGGCCCGCTCCGGCCGCTCCGCCCGGGAAATGCCGCCAAGGTTGTCGCCAGAGACACGAGAGCCGCAGGTGCAGCTCGGGCACAAGCAGGCGCGCGATGTGTGCGCGTCATGACTCCCCGTGGGCCGGCATTCCCATGCGGACAGCACATCTTCGCTGTTTGCTGTCCGCCCTCCCCCGCACACAGGCCCCGTAAGTAAATGCCGAGTGAGTGAACCGCGGGCTGAGCACAGTCACCTCAGGGTGGGGGCTGGTGTTCGTGTCACACGAGGGGAAACCGGCCCGCGCCGAGAGACCCAGAGGTGAGAAGAGCGAGGCCACCGGGCGGGCCTCTCGCAGAGGTGACCTCAGGGTCACCTGACAGCCGACAGCGCGGCCGGCAGCCGCCTGACCGCCCGCCCCTGGCAGGAATGTGGGCCCGGAGCGTCCCCACGGCGGAGGCTCGGGTTACAGGCCCGCGCGTCACCCCGGGCTCCGGGGGAAGGACTGCCCCGCCCCGCGCTGCGCGTCTCCGAACGCAGCCCGGCGCCTTTAAGGCCGGCGCACCAGAAAGTCCCGCCCCCAGGGAGCGCGCAACCCGACGGGGCGTGGCCTGGCCGCCATTGGATGAGTCACTTAGTGTTTCGGAGAGAGAAGGCGGGTCTTCGCGCTCTGATTGGACTTGGGGCCTGCTCGTCTGCGTGCCTGTCGGAGTCGGCGTCTGCTCCCGGGTTCAGATTCCACGCTCGGGCAGCGGGGAGCTGGACGCGGGAGGCCCGGGGCGCCCGCCGGCAGGTGCACTGACGCCAGGACGCAGGTACGACCGCTGCCAGCGGCCCGCGCGGGGTCCCCGGCCCGAGGCGAGGCGCGCAGGACGCAGGTCTGGGCCGCGGCCTCACGGAGGAAGGAGGAGATGAGGTGGCCTGGCTGGGGCCTCCAAGCCGGGGTTCGAATCCCGTCTCTGGCCCGTCACTCAGTTTCTCAGGGCTTCGTGCCCCTGTGGACCGACCCGGACGGGCCCTCGGAGCCTGCGCGGGGCCCGCTCAGCCTGACCCCGGCGGGCAGAGGGGAGAGGACAGGTGGCGCCGGGAGGGCTATTTTTAACCGCCTGTCCGCGCTCCCTCCCCCGAGTTGGAAGCTGCGGGCTGGGCCTGCGTGGCCCGCCAGGTGGGGCAGGCGGGCCGGGAAAGCTCTTCGCGGCTTGTAAAGGGCACTCCTGGCTTCGCTGGAGGCGCCCCCAGCCTTTGACCAACCCAGGCCCCGGTACCTGTTTATAGTCTGAGACATGGAGGGTGGTGCTGGGGCTGAGTCCCCAAGTGGTTCAGGCTTCTCCCCACCTGGCAACAGCCCTGGGCGGCCCACCGCCCGCAGCTTATCTTCTCTGTCGCTTGGCTCCCCACACCGAGGACAGCTCCCCATCCCCAACGTCCCAAGCCCAGGAGGCGCAGAGAGGCCCCAGTCGCCGGGCCCTGGCCAGTCCTCCGTTTGGATCTGTGTGTGCAGTTCCTTTGCCCGCTGGGCAGAGGCCTTTGGCCTTGACTGGCACATACCCACTGACAGGCAGCTCCTGCCCAGGCAGCCTGGGCCCTCTCACCAGTCCCGTCATTGACTTGATAGCTCTGCCTTGGGGCTACTCTATCAAGATTTGGAGGTAACTGGCCTCACTGAGATCCCCCAAAGGTCTGAGAGGCCCTCCAGGGCAGGCTGTCTAGGGTCGTGGTCGGCAAACTGCGGCTCTCAAGCCACATGCAGCTATTTGGCCCCTGGAGTGTGGCTCTTCCACAAAATACCAGCTGTGGGCACGCACATACAGTGCGATTGAAACTTCGTGGCCCATGCGCAGAAGTTGGTTTTCAGCTCTCAAAAGAAATTTCAATCGTTGTTCTGTTGATATTTGGCTCTGTGGACTAATGAGTTTGCCGACCACTGGGGTAGGGCTCCAAGTCGTGGATTTCCCTGGGCCTTGCTGCCTCCTGCTGTGCCCGCCCTGGTTAACCAGGACGAGGCCGCCTCTAAGACCTGTCCGGAGGGCCTCTTGGGGGGCTAGACCCTGGAGGGTTTGCTGTTGTGGGTCCACAGACCCCCTCCTCACTGTGTGGTCCAGCAGCGTGTGTCTGTAAAGCTGGAGTGATGCTGAGACCTTCCTACGGGTCTGTGATGTCAGGAGTCCCGGGGTCGGGGTGCTGGGCCCCTTTGACCTGCCTTAGGCACTTGCTGGGTGAGCCCTCTGTCCAGCGGGTGGGGTAGGTTGTTTGCAGGTTCTCCTCGCAGAAACCTGTGAGTGGCCACTTTCTGCGGAAGCTCTCAGGACCCCCCTTGTGGGCTTGAGCCAGCGACCCCAGGATGATGGAACGGGAGTGCCCACCCTCGCCTGCCGTGTCTGCCTGGCTGCCCATACTCAGTGGTCCCTGCACCCTGGCTCTCTTTTAGGCAGACATGGCAGAGTTCTCCCAGAGGCGGGGGAAGCGGCATGATGACGACATGCTGGGCAGTGCTGTGGACTTCCTCCTGGCCAATGCCCGCCTGGTGCTGGGTGTGGGCGGGGCTGCCGTGCTGGGTATTGCCACCCTGGCTGTGAAGCGGGTAAGGCCACGGTGGACCAGTTACACCTGGGGCTCCCAGAGGATCACAGGGCTGGGGCCTGCAGCGGGGCCCGGGCGGGGGCGGGGGACCGCCCAAGCTGGCATCTGCTTCTCTACCCAGCAAGCTTGTTTGCTTTGCCCTGGAGCTTTGCTGTGCTGCCCCAGCTTCAGGTGCTCTGATCTGTGCCACTCTGCCCGCAGCTCATTGACAGGGCTGCCAGCTCTCGGGACGAGGATGATGCCAAGGCAGACGCCACGAGCCTGGAGGACAGTTGGAAGGAACTGAGCCTGCTCAAGGCCACACCACGCCCACAGCCCCGGCCCTCACCTGCTGCCCACAGCCAGCCTGTGCTGCTCCCAGTCCCCTCACATTTTGCCTCAGGTGAATGGCACCCTTCCCCTCTAACCTGGTGGGTCCCCCTTTGGTGGTCACACTCAGGAGATGCAACTCGGGCTCTGCCACCAACTGACTGTGTGCCCTGTGCAAGCCCCTGTCCCCTGGGGCTGTGGCTCCCTGCATGTTTCATGGTGTGTGTTTCTGCCCTTCTGCCACCCACTGGGACACGTGGACTTTGGGGGTGATGTCGCAGTAGGGCAGTAGCCTTATGATATGGGGGCTCAGATCAGGAAACAGGTCCAGGACCCCACTGCACTCTGCATGAACTGTTTTGGCCCCAAAGAGTCGGGGAGCTGGGGCAGTGAGAACTTGTCGTCAGAGTATTCTTTCTACTTGAGGACTTGAGCTGGGTGCCGCTTCTCAGCTGGTTCTTACAGGTGAGGGGAAGGAGGCCCAGGCCAGGACACGCCTGGTGACCTGGGAGATTCGTGGCTCCTCACAGGGCCTTCTGACATGTTCCCTGGCCCTTTCACTCTGCAGAGGGGCCTGCAGGTGCTGACCCTCAGTCGTCTCCTCAGCTTACCTCCCCAGGACTGTTGTGCCTGACCTTCCAAGAGAAGCTGTTGGCGTTCGAGCGAGACCACGTGAGCATCCCAGGGGCCCACGTGGCTCTGGCCAAACAGTTGGCTGGCGACATTGCCCTCGAGCTGCAGGCCTACTTGCAGAGCAAGTTCCCAGAGCTGCCCTTCGGGGCGCTTGTGCCCGGGGGGCCGCTGTATGATGGCTTGCAGGCAGGGGCTGCTGACGACGTGCGTCTCCTGGCACCCCTGGCGCTGGAGCCGGGCCTGTGGAGCCTGGTGCCTGGCATGGACACCGTGGCCAGGGACCCTCGCTGCTGGGCTGTGCGTAGGACTCAGCTTGAATTCTGTCCCCGCGGGAGCAGCCCCTGGGACCGCTTCTTGGTGGGTGGCTATCTCTCGTCCCGCGTCCTGCTGGAGCTGTTTCGCAAGACACTGGCCGCCTCCGTCAACTGGCCCGTGATCGGCAGCCTTCTCGGGTGCTGGGTCCGGCCCAGCGTGGCTTCGGAGGAGCTGCTGCTGGAGGTGCAGCACGAGTGCCTGGAGCTCACCGTCGCCGTGTTCCTGGCCATCACCGGCGCCAGCGCCGACGGCCGGCTCCTCGTCGCCTGGCCCCTGGAGGGGCTGGCTGGGAACTTCTGGCTGCAGGACTTGTACCCGGCAGAGGCTGCCCGGCTGCGAGCTCTGGATGGCTGTGAGGTTGGGACCCGCCAGCGGCTGCTGCTGCTGCTGTGTCGTGTCTGCCAAGGCCATCCGGCCCTGAGGCAGCTGAGCCGGGGCCACCTGACCCAGGTGGTTCTCCGTCTGGGCGAGGAGGAGGCAGACTGGGCGGAGGGGGTTTTGGGGGAGCGCTTTCTGCAGGCCGTGGAGCTGCTCCTCAGCAGCCTGGAGCAGGCCAGCCTGCCCTGCCATTTCAGCCCCGGTGTGAACCTCTTCGCCAGCCTGTGCCCGGAGGAGGTGGACAGCCTCGGCCACGTGCTGTACCGCGGCCTGCAGGCCCCCGAGGGGCTGCTGTAGACGAGGCAGGCAGGCTGCGTGTGTTCTGATGCTGGAGAACACCCTTCCTCTTGCTTTTAGTCAGGATAAAAAGGTGTTGGCTAAGGCCGGGGTTAGCATGTGCATAGGTAGCCATCACTGGGACCTTCTGAGCCCAGAGAGCTTGAGCCGCACTGCCTCTCAGGCAGCCTGGAGGGCCAGCCACTCACACCCACTCCCTCAGTCCTCTGGGCCGACCCGGGACCTTGGGCTTGGTCCCTCATCACCAGCAGTGGATCCCCTGACAGCAGATGGTCTGCTGTCCTCGGCAGGGGTAAGGCCAGCTCTGTTTTTCTGTTGAGGGTGAGTTGGTGCTTTCCTCGGGTGCCAGCTCCTGGCATCTCTAGGCGCCTGGTGCAGGATGGTGAACACCCGGTGTTTGTTCATCCCCATGGGCCGGAGTCACCTGGTAGCTGTGGCAGGGAATGCAGCTTTTTGACAGACTTCGAAGCTGGTGTTTTCTGATGTCATCTGTGGTCTAGTTTGCTTATTGAGCCCTCTCCCCTACCCTGGAGTGGGGGCTCAGCTTGGGGTGCTGCCCACCTCACACCTGTGAGGCCCTTTCTCCTCCATCAGGCGAGTTCTCTCCTGCAGAGGCAGTTGGAGGGCCCTGCGGGAGCCCCTGCCCACCGGGAGCGAGGGCTCTGCCCGTCTTGCCCAGAGCCAGCTGTATTGTGCCAGCCAGAGAGCGGGGGCCTCCGGGAAGGCCTGTGGGGCAGATGGGCCTGGGCCGTGCCACACGGACAGCTCAGCCGACTCCTGTGTTCTCCCTGGGCCCGCAGAGTCAGGGATAGGGAAGGGAGGGCTGCCCCCCCTTCCCGTGTGCCTCCTACCGTGGTGTCCTTCCTGCTGAAGCCGAGCTGTGCCTCAAAGAATGTGAACCAGAATAAAAGAGAAAACAAGCCTTCGTGTGACTCATGCTGTCTCATAAGCAACTGTTGGGAGTTCTGGAAGCTGGGCCAGAGGGGCTGGGAATGGACTGGAGGGGCTCATTTCTCTGGAAAAGCTTATATGGAAGGAGGTTACAAGATTGCGGGTGTGATGTTCTGCTTTTGTAATGGGAACCAACTCGGGTTTTGTATCTTCCCGAAGCCTGAGTTTTTTATTCGAAGCCCCTGTGCTTTCTGGGATTGTGCCAGGCTCTGGGCCGACGCTCCTGCCAGCATCATTCCAGCTGGAGCTGCCCCCAAAGCTCTCCGCCAGGAGTGACAGAGCAGTGTGACCTCTCTCTCCCTGTCCAGACAGGGAAGCAAGTGCATCAGTGTCCATTGCTGGGGCTCTCTGCCTTCGTCAGCAGATGACAAATGAGGCCCTGTCCTTAAGGTGTGGCCACCACCGCTATGCTCCTCCCCTCCTCTCCTCCGCACCCAGTGTACTTCCTAAGTAGTCATCCGAGGGACGCCCGTGGAACAGGGCTGCCCCTGGAGATTATGATGACTGCACTCAGAGGCTATGACAAGGGTCAAAGGACAGGAGACCGGCTTAGCTGAGGGCCATTCAGATAACTTGTCTCAGGAGCTGGTGCAAAGAGAGCCTTAAGCAGCTGTAATGGCAGCCTAGGGTTGGCAAGGGACAGGCTGGAGGCAGCGGCTGTGCGTTGCATTCTCGTCATAATACCTGTTTCCTAGGGTGGCTGCGAGGAGTAAGTGCTGGTGGGAGCGTTAGCCCGGAGCCTGGCCCAGAATGAATGCCTCCCCAAACCGGAGGCTGCTGGGCCTTGGTGCCTCACTCACAGACGGAGCCCGAGCACAAGGATGCCTCCGCCACCAGGCTGCGTCTGCCATGGCGGGCTCCTAAGGACAACTGTCACCTGCTGGAGGCTGGCCTGGGCGTGGTGTCTGGCTGGCTCAGTCCTGGTCTGTTCCAGGCGCAGGGGTTGTTGCTACCATTTCATGGATTCCCTTTGATGCAAAGATGATGCCAGCTCTGCGCCAGGTGCGTCACGGTCTGAACATCGTGTACGCAGACCTCAGCGGTGGTGGGCAGCCTGACAGTCGTCGTCCTGGCCTGGTTTAGCGTTGCCCAAGGCCCAGGCCCGCAGTTGTGGTGCCACCTGCTCAGAATGAAAGTCATGGTTTGAAGTCATCCACATGGCTCAGGAATAACTTCCTGCATAGAAACATTTCCTTTTACTTCACTCCTGAGGGTGTCTCCTCAGAAGCACTTAGCTGCTCAGAACAGCAACAGAGTCCTCAGCTGCACAGTATCCTCTCCGCTGGAGGAACAGGCATCTCGCGTAGACCTGCCATTGGTTTCAGCCATAAGCCCTGTGGTCTTTGTGCACAGGGGCTCCCTCATGAGGAGATTCCTGGCCATGGAAAGCATTCAAACTTGTTCAGATCCTGAAGGATCTCAATTTTTAAAAGTACATTTTTATTGATTGCAAGAAAAGGGAGAGGGAGGGATAGAAACATCTGTGATGAGAGAGAATCATGGATCAACTGCCTCCTGCACCCCCCTACGGGGAATAGAGCCTAAAACCCAGGCATGGGCCTTGGCCGGGAATAGGATTGTGACCTCCTGGTTCATGGGTTGAGGCTGAATCTCGGCAGATCCTGAAGGACCTTGCCAAACTGCATTCTAAAAGGACTTCAGCCAGCAGCCCAGAAAATTACAACGCCCTGAGCTGTGCCTGGCCAGAGCGGGGCAGAAAGGGGAAGTGGCTGCCTTACGTAGACAGAAGCATGCAATCCACCTCTAAACCAGCACCAGCCTTCACTGCCGTGTCCCGCATTCTACTCTCCCTTCGTAAGATCTTACTTGGAGTGGAGAATTTAAGTGTGACTCCTCTCCCACTAGCGATGCCTGTGTCCGGGGCTCCATCTCCCTGGTATGTGCTGAGGCAAAATGAAGCTGATCCAGTGGCAGCTCAGGAACCCCTGGTTCAAAGACCATAGCAGGCCCGAGTGTACCTCCAGCATAACTGCCTGTGAGCTAGCATGCAAGCCACACTAGGAAAGCACCTCCTGCCTTTTGGTTCCAGATGGGCCTTTGAAAATCCAGCACTTAGCTGGCTGTGAGGCTAGGCGTGGAGCCCAAGGGAGCAGATCAAGCTCCTCCATGTATGGGAAGGGCATGACGCCCAAGGTCAAGAGACCAGGGCCAGGCACAGCTCACCCCAAAGTCCATAATCTAGGGCTACTACTACACTTTTTAAAAAATGTATATTTTATTGATTTTTTACAGAGAGGAAGGGAGAGGGATAGAGAGCTAGAAACGTTGATGAGAGAGAAACATCGACCAGCTGCCTCTTGCACACCCGCTACCGGGAATGTGCCCGCAACCAACATACATGCCCCTGACCGGAATTGAACCTGGGACCTTTCAGTCCACAGACCGACGCTCTATCCACTGAGCCAAACCGGTTTCGGCTACTGCTCCACCTTTGCTCTGTTTTAAAACAGGGGGCCTTCAACCTGGTATGTGACACATTTGCAGTTTTCAAAAAAATATATATACTAGAGGCCCATCTTAGTGGCCTGCAGGGATTGGGCCGAAACCCAGTCCAATGCCACCTGCAGCTCCTACCTGCCACTACCACTCATCCTGGCCCACTGTGCCTGCCATGGGCTCACGCCCAATCAGTCCTGATCATGAGGCTCTTGCTGCCACAGCAGCGCTCGCCAGCCATGAGCCCTGTGTCGCCCTCTCAAGAGGAGCGGCCTGCAGGACCGGGCTAAAACCAGCTCTCTGATATCCCCCAAGGGGTCCTGAATTGCCAGAGGGCACAGGCCAGGCTGAGGGACCCCGCCAGTGCACCATTGGGCCAGGGTGGAACAGTAGGAGGGCTCCAGGGCATGTCCAGCTCATCTCGTTCAGTCCTGATTAGCTGGACCCAGCAGCAAGCTAACCTTCCAGTCGGAGCATCTGCTTCCTGGTGGTCAGTGCGTGTCATAGCGCATGGTTGAGCAGACTTAGCATGTCATTATCATGTCATATTACACTTTGATTGGTTGTTCGGTGGTTCTGCTGCTTGGTCTATTTGCATATTACCATTTTATTATATAGGAATATTAGTGTCCTGATGCAAAGATTCATGCATATTGAAAGGAAATTAATCAAAAGTAATATTTTAATATCACTATTCACCCTTTATAATAGAAGTGTCAACCAAATTTATAATCGACAATGACAGATTGAAACACATGCGTGTGATTGGCACCAGTGAGAGCTTTATATGTATCATGCATGTGCTAGTCAACTTGGCCTTTTATATATGGAATAAGCTTGCTTAATTAGACCTGCTTTCTGATGTAGCTCAACTTTTTCCACCCCAACTTCTCTTCCAGGTATTTATCAGCAACTCAGCAGTAAACATCAACATGAAGCAGATTATTATTGTAGATCATGCAGGGAAAACAAAGGGTAAAATATTTAACTTGCAGCAGTGTTTGACTATATTCCGCGCAGTGAGAAAACCTGAAGTAATTTTCAAGGTCCACCATTTCTTACTTCTTTTCAGTTGGGTCATCTCTGTTTTCCGGCTAATGAAAATAGTATTCCCTTGAGTCTCCTATCTCCCTACTCCAGGATTTCTGTGAGGATCAAATGAGATGAGGCATGGAAAACACTTCACAGACATTTGGTGAAAGTGTGAAGTGTTTGCACCTGGCTATAAAGCAAGTCATGTTCCTGGGCTGAAGAAACTGCAAGGAGGCTAGTCACTAGGGAGAGGAAGCCGGGCATTGCTACGTAATGTCATTATCCCTGTGTTGAGCGTCTGCCCCCTAGTGGTCAGTGAGCATCATAGCTACCGGTCGGACAGGCATTTGGCCTTTTATATTTATAGATTTTTAAAAAAGTATTTTTATTGATTTCAGAGAGGAAGAGAGAGAGAGAGAGAGAGAGAGAGAGAGAGAGAGAGAGAGGGAAACATCAATGATGAGAGAGAATCATTGATCAGCCGGCTGCCCCTGCATGCCCCCTACTGGGGATCAAGCCCACAACCCAGGCATGTGCCCTTGACTGGAATTGAACCTGGAACACTTCAGTGCATAGGCCAACACTCTATCCACTAAGCTAAACCAGCTAGGGCAAAAAATATACTTATTTTCTAATCAGAAAATTAGCTTTTTAAAAAACCCCGGTAACATCACATTTGGTTGCACTTAGTTCAATGAGGAAGCTAAGGGTGTCGTGGATGACACCCAGAGTGTATTCCAAAGCCAACAAATGGCCCTGCGGACGGTGTTTGGGTCACCTCTGCACTACTGCCAACTTCCTGAGGTAACAGAGTGGTTGGCTGGAGCCTCAGAGCAGGAAGGCCAGAATCTGACTCTCTCACTTGTGTGCTTTTGCACCAAACTCTCTAGGCTACCCCCAGCCACCTCCGTGTGAACTTGAGTGGTCTGAGGCAGGCATGTCCCTAGCAGGATGGCCAATGGGGCACATGGCACCACCCCGGTGTGCTCATTGACCCATGCTGCCTGTGTATTCCAGTCAGAGTCCTTGGTCCCAAACAGCTGACTTTCTGGGCTGCAGCAGCCCTACAAGGAAAGGCAGCTTTCAATTTGCCCCAAAGGGGAGCAGGCCTCAGTGCCAAGCTGTTGCCTGAAGTGACTGCAATGCTGAGACTGTCTGGCTGCCAGGGTGACAGAACTTATATTTTTAGATTCCAGCTGCTCAAGAGCAGTGAGCATCCAATTCAGGCGCCCTCAGCCAGCAGCAGCTGTGCGATGCGGCCACTCTCACTAGTTCTCAGACTGGGGCAAGAAGGGGTGCCTCAGGGAAGTGCAAGATGCATCAGCCAGAGCGCCTCTTCTCTGAGGCAGCGGTGGCTGTGGCAGAGAGAACACTGCATTTCTAAGAGGGTAGCGTGCAGGCGGAGACGGTTTCAGTCCTCTTAGCTGCTCAGAGGAAGAGCCTGTGTCCCTTGCAGTGGAGCTGGAGGCTGAGAAACGGCGCAGT